GGGGCTAAGCGTCACCATGGGGACCGTGCGGCGCCCCGCCCGGGCCGTAAGGGGATGGCGGCCATGCGGGGACTGTGCTGCTGTCTCCGCTGTCCCTTCTGTGCCCACTGTCCTCCCGCCCTCCACAACGTCAGCCCCAGCAGCAACACTGTTTTTAGGGACCCCCTGGCTTCGCTCTTCCCTCTCCCCTCCGCCCGTCGGGGCAGCACAGCTCTGTGGGGCCCTGGCAGGTGCTGCACCCTGCCTGGTCCAGGTGAAATATCCCCTTTTTCACCCTGTGGTTGTTTTATCACATCTGCGCAGCTGCCTCAGCGGGTTTGCTGCTGACTCTGCGGGGACAGGACACGCCGCGCTTCTGCGCGGGGCCAAAAGGAGTGTGCAGTTATTATTTTTCATAATTCATGAAATTTTTACTGACAAAAAAAAATAAAAAGACGTGAAAATGTGGACCAGGAGCTTCTGAGTCGTCCTCCTCGCGCCCATCTTCCTTTGAGATGCGACCAAGCATCGGGAAAAACAGTGGTAATGATCCCTGTGCACCAGGAGGGGGTTTTCGCGTCCTTTGAAACCAAACCGTAGGGATGCGAGAAGCAGTTTTATCTCTCGGCACCAGGTATTTATTTACTCTGCGTGTTTCGGGAGCTGCTCACTGTTCCTTGGCAGCCAGACCTGTTGCCCGAAGGCATGGATGAGTCCGCAGCCAGCACCGGGTTTTGCAGCCAGAGAAGACACGGGGGTGCATCATCCTCCCGGGGAAGAGCTGAGCCACGGGGCACTGCCGCCGACAAAGCAAAATCATAAAGAAACGAGCTGAGCCTTGGTCTGGTCCGACGAACCCTCCACGGCTGCCAGGGTACATCCTTGTGAGGGTGGACAACGCCATCGGAGCCCATTCCTCTGTTACATCCCACAGGCAGCACTGAGGCTGTGCTCCTGCCTGCTCTGCCCTCTCTGTGCTCCTCTTGCTCCTTTGGCACAGGCTATGATTCCTGACCCCCAGCTCCTAATGGCAATGGGAGAGGGAAAAAAAAGGCAAACGCAGTGTCCAGGGCCACCCTTGACAATGTCCCCCAATAGCATCAAGGTGACTTTTCTGCTCACTTGGTTGTAGCCTTTGCTTGGAATGCCCAGAGGGCTCCTGTGGATGGCAGGGACAGGGGAAGGCTGTGGAGATGTCAGAGTAAAACCAGGATCTTAGGCTCTGAGTGTGTGTTTTGCTGGGACTCCCTGTGCAGTTGCTGGCCAATGGACCAGTTGAGCCACTGTAGCCACAGCCAATCTGCCACGAGCTCAGGCTCCTGTGTTTCTCCCCCCTGTCACAGGCAGGGGGGGCAGAGCTCACCTGAGCTGCCCACTGCCCGAGCCATTGCTGGGAAAACTGCCCATTCACAGGAATGTGCTGGACAAACTTACCTGAACCCAGTGCTGACCTGGCTTGGAGCAGGGGCTGGAGGAACCACCTACCTGAGTGCTAAACCTCTGCAGCCCCACTCCAAGCCTGGGGGTGCTAAGCCCCCTGGAGAGTCAGGCCCTCACTGCCCTCACCCAGAGCAGCCAAGAAGTGGTGGATTTGGAGTCAGTGGGGACGTCTGGACATTTGGTACCACATGCTCCAGTTCCAGAGACTGATTCAGAGCTCCTAGGACTGAAGCAAAACAAATGCCTGCCCTGATACTGTCTGCTTAGCTTAACTCTCTCTGTGGCAGCAGATTTGGAGCCATGCCACAAAACAGAAGGTGTGACCAGCACGTCACCCCACGGTCCTGCTGAACAATTAACCCTGATTTACCAAAATTGGAGATGAAGAGCTGCAAGCTTCTTTTGTCACCAGTGCCTGCGTAAATATTAACTCCGTTGTAAATCAGGATTATCTCTCTGACCTCAGCACAATTACTCTGTTTAAAAGCCGGGGTCTGATGCAATTTTGTGCCATCCAAAGGTTGCTCCGTGGGCTGGGATAGAGCGAGGGTCAAAGGGGAGTGTGATCCAGACAAGCCAGGCTGATTCTTTGGACTCAGTTCAATTATTTCATTCTGTTGGAAGTGCTGTGCTCATTAGGTGTCTGGCTTTAAAAAACATTTCATGGCGCTTCTGTCATGGCCCCTTTGGCTCCAAGATTCCTTGGAGACCATGAACAAGACTTTGGTCTGGATCAGTGCTGGTGACCCCGGTGCCAGCAGCTCTCAGTGTGCTCCAGCTCCGCCGTGGGGTCTGCAGGGAAGGGGCTGCCTGCCTGTCCCTGGATGTTTTGGTGCCTGAGCAGGGACAGTTCTGCTGGAGCCACATCCTGAGGGTACCTGTGGACACAGCCCAGCAGCACTGAGGAGATGTGCTCTGGCTACATGTCCTGGCAGCCTGGTGCTGGGATGGGCACAGCGAGGCTTTGCCGCACACCTGGTGAACGTGAGCATTTCTTGTCCTCTCACTCGGTTGTTCCACCACTCAGTAAAGCAACTCATCCCCGAAATAGTGAACCTTCCCTGGCCTGTGCTGCTCCAGGGCGGCACAAAACTCTCCTGCCAGACAGGGGAGAAAAACTGGAGGGCATCTTTAACCAGCAGGTGGGAAATGAAGGGCACAGCTGGAAACTGTCCTCTGCTACCAGAGGTGCCTCTGCCAAAGGCCACCAAAACGGTGGCACAGGGAGCAGCAGTGCCGGGTCGGTGGGAGAGGCAGGGCCCTCCGCCAGCGTGGGGAAACACCGGGATATCCCCAGGTGGGGCCAAGGCTTCCACCGGTGACACTCGTGGGGATGCAGTGGGAGTGCTGGACATGCTGTTGGCTTCACTTTGCCGCTAATGAGGTTCTTGATAGCGATGGGACGCCTGGGATTACCGGCGCGGTGCCCGGTGCCGTCCCAGCGCGGCGTCGTCCCGCTGGCGA